TGCGGCTGGAAAGAACTGCAGAAAGCACAGGGTGAGCGGCATGATGTATTACACACCCAAACACACTTATAACACCACGTGCAAGGAAGTACTCAAGATGCTTTTAAACAGATACTTTTACAGAGACAAAATTTGGCTACAAGAACTTCACCAGCATTTTTAGCAACCTACAAATTGTTCATATCCTTAGCTAAATAACTCCCACCATCCCCAACTCTATTAGACATTCATGTAAACAGCATCAGAACACAAGCTGTCCCTTTGAAAATAACTGTTAACATTTCAAAGTCCAGAAGAAAGAATGAAGCAGTATTTAATGAAGTTATTTTGTATAAATTTTATGCAGAAGAAATACTTTTTAATTTTTAATCAATGGCGAGAATCCCCATAAAGAAAATGAAAATATATGTGTGGAAAACTAAACTTAAAAGTTGAAATTACAAGAGCCAACCTGAAACAAACTTTTCTTTGCCTCTCACAATTTCATTTAGCACTTTTTTAAAAATATATCATCATGGCAAAAATGTGGCAAATCTAGCTTTACTCCAATTTAAAAATATAGTAACAAAAACACTGCACAATTACTTCAGTCAGCATTTCCTTTAAAGAGAAGGCAAGACTGGCTCTTATCAGAAAGTAGGCACAGGCCTCTCCTTAAAGGAAAGATTTTCTTTGCAAAGTAGTTTTAAGATCTGTTTCAAATCAAAAGGCACTGAGGTAAAGAAAAATATAAACTAAACAATGGCTGCCTCTTCTCTCTGACCACTCTGTATTTATTCTATATAATCTATATAATCTGTCTTTAAAAAAACCTATTGCTTGCAAGTACTCTATTCCTCCCTTTAACATTCTCTGCACCATATTTAAACTCACAAAAAATGTAAACAGATTTTTTTATAACTAAAATCTACTAAGAGATCATCCTGAGGTCATTTTGTCTCTTTAGACACTCCACATCTCCACACACTCCACTGAAGGAGTAAAACATATCCTACTACATTATCAGCTTAATGTAAAGGTAGGCAGGTAAGAATTCCATTAAAGTAACAAGTGTTTCCTGTATACACAGAGGAGTATTCAATCGTCTTTTGTGCAAAACAGCTTTTTATATATGTGTATATATATGTACATGTGTACAAGTATGTATATGTGCACGTGTGTGTACATCATCTGTCTGCCTGTGTCTATGTGTGTGTGTGTGTATGTGGAATTGAGTCTCTATGTTCCCAGGCTGGTCTTGAACAAAAGCCTATCCTCTGCCATCTTTGCAAATACCTGGGATTACAGGTGTACACCAGCACAGAGAACAAGGAGCTAATTTTAGAGCACAGATCGGCAGCCTGTGGGGTAGCTTAGGAGTAGGAAACTTGCATTGTAAGCACAGGGCATTTGATCTCTAGAGCTAATAAACCCTTCCAGAATTCGCCCACCACAAGAATAAGATTCTGAGGCTGGACAAAGAAAACTGTGATAAAATATGCATCCTAAATCACTCTGAAGAGGTGCCCCACCAGCACACAGGGCACAGCCACAGCACCGGTGCTCTCGTCGCCCGCTGCCGGCCTTCCTGATCAAGCAGGTGCTTACTCAGGCACAGTGAACAGACGATAATGAACCTCCTCCTTCCCCTTCCTACAACAAATCTACTGATCCAGCATCAAGCACAGACCATGGACAATGTGAAGAAATGGTAATAGCGACTGATAAAACGCAAGAGAAGAGGCTTCCAGGGACACACATGGTTAGTGCTGGCCCACACTGCCACACCACACACAGCGTCTTCTTCACACAAGTCACACACTCCACGCACATCTCACTACTGCTCTTTCCTAAATGATGCTCTCTATGTCTTTGCTTCCTCTGCTTTCTCTCAGAAAGTCACCCAATGTCTATCTACATGAATCTGACTTACTCCTTCAGACTATGCTCAGTGTCACCTGTGCCCCAGACCTCTCCACGGCCTCCAGTGGAAGCTGCCACTCCTTCCACTGTGTGTCTCTTCTGTGGTATGTGCAACCCTGAACCTTGTATCCAGCCCTTTCTGCATGTATGGTATCTTCCATCAGAAAAAAAAACCTTCTAGGATAATATCTGTTTTGGAATCTTCTTCCAACTTTCATAATTTCTAGAAAATATTCAAGTAAAAGAAGCAAAAAGGAACAAAAAAGTTTAACACATGTAGGAAGTATAAAGGAAAGAGAAGAAAAAATAATGGAAGGAAAAGAGTAGATAACCACAAACAGACCTGGGTCAGAACGACTGGGAATGCTGAAGAGACCAAACCCACCAAACGAGAGCTGGGGGAGAGGAGTGGAGACGAAAGAGACACAACCTCACTAAGGGAGGAGCAGAGTGAAGAGCACTGGCTGCCCACAGAAAGCAGAAGGCCAAGGTGCAACCTGAGGGGAGATGCTGAAGGGAAAAGAAACAGAGGCACGGTGGTGGGACTACCTGAGAGAAACGAGGGAGAGGCAGAAAGCCAAGCAGGTACCCATGCAGGTACTAAGTGTCCAGGCTCTCTCCAGCCACATATGAGCTGAGGAGACCCACGCTGGCAGGACTGAGACAGACAGGAACAAAAAACCGACATGCTGTGAGTTCACACAGAGTAACACAGCTGCATAGAAGAACTTCACAGATACCCTGAAAAGATCTCATAGACTCCCAAAGTCTTCTGGCAACCCTTCAACATCTCTCTAACTAGCCTATCTAAGGCAAACTCATATACACTCAGAAAACATGAAAAAAAAAATCTGCTTCTTCTTTGGCACTTTCCTAACCTGCAACCTTACCAAATAACTCTGAAATCTAATCCAAATGTATATGAGGCTCAAATGCAAATCAATTTTTCTCATCATCTCTCTCTAAAGGGTGAAAACCTACTAACAGGAAATCAACCCAGACTGAAGCAGCCCACTACAACAGAGGCAAACCAGTTAGTTAGTCCTCACAGCACAAACAAAAAAAGTAGGGAAGAGACACTGTGACCAGACAGGTTCACGGTCTGGATGGCCAGGGCGCTGAGGATAATGAAGCACGTGTAAGGAATACCAAATTTATCCTCGTAGTGCGAAATAGCCACATGTTAATGATGATATGGACGGGAGTGATACGTTCCAAAACTTTTCACTTATAACAATACGTCAGGCAGGATTTTGTCCTTGGGTCATGGTTAGCTAAACAGTGCTTTGGACTAAACTGATCAGCATCAAAAATTTAGTGCACAGAACAAAGGCATTTCATATTTTTATTTCCCAATATTTTCTTTTTTTAAAGATATATTTATGTATTATTTATTAATTATACAGTATCCTGCCCGCGTGTGTGCTTGAGAACCAGAAGAGGGCATCAGATCTCATTATAGGTGGTCGTGAGCCGCCATGTGGTGGCTGGGAATTGACCTCAGAACCTTTGAAAGAACAGACAGTGCTCTTAAGCTCTGAGCCATCTCTCCAGACTCTAGATTTTCTTAAGGTTTACTTTTTATTATTTTAATTATGTGTATGAGTGTGTGTGCATGTGAATTCAGATGCCTACAGAGGTCAGAGCTATCGGAGAGCCCTGGTGCTGGAGGTCCAAGCAGGGAAGCCACCTGACATGGGCTCTGGTCACCGAATGTGGGTTAGGGTGGCTAGGATTAAAGACGTACAGAACCCTACAGCAGGAACACAAAGATCTGGATTCTGGCGATAGTTCAATTAAAAGTTTAACTTTGGCAAATACCTGAAATTCCACACAAAGTGATGGGGAGACGCGAAGCAGTGAGAACTTACAAGGGAGATGTTGGTAAGAGTATAAATGCGTGCGCTAGGTGCAGGGGATTACATTTCTTACAAAGTCCTGCACATGACAATTCTAAGAATTTACACAGACTCCAAGACACACAACTTGCTCATCAACGGACACAAGGATAAAGCTGAAGGGTGGACGACAGCACAACTGAGAAGCGAACACAGCTCCAGGAGTAAATATGCACGCAACCAAACAACAGTGTGCAAATGATCTGTTTACCATGCTACTACAAAACCCATTTAACACACTAGCACTAACCCTAAGTTAACAGAAAAAAGAGCTAAGGACAGACACCTTGCCCAGCACATTCACGGCACCGGTCAAGACCGAGGACTGAGCAAACAAGAACTGAAAGATCATATAAAGCATACACTTCGGTAAAAGCATAAAGAAGAGACGCAAGTAATAACATCAAATCACTTCAGTGGAAAGGAAGGGTAGGAGACAGACTGAAGAATAGAAACAAAACATTTTGAGAAGGGGCATTTAATTTCATAAATGCTAAGTATTTGGCACACTGCCCTTTGTCCTTCAGTGTCTAGAATATTCCATTATAATTTTTTAAACCTAAGCAGCAAAGTGCAGGTTGGGAGAGGTGACATGGCTTCCCACTCGGCACTTAGGAGGTAGAGGCAGGGAGATAGAAACTTCCAGATCACTCCTGACTAAATAGTGTAAGTTCATGCCACCCTGGGTTACATCAATTGCTGTGTTAAAGACAGAAAAAGAGGTGAGTATATTCTTTGAAACAAATGTTTTACTTGACTCTGACCTTAGCCAAGTGCAAACATAAGCCAGAACATTCCTTATCACTCAACTTTATAATATTTACAAGAGAAAAACAAAACAAAACCCACAACTCCCATCTTTGAAGATGGGGCGCCACCTTGTGTTCAAAACTTCCTAAGAGTAAAAAGTCAGAAAATAGCTGAGCGGTGCACACACGAAAATATAAATTTCTGTATTTTATGACATGGTGTTCGATTTTACTTAGTTTAAACACACATAATGCTGACACTTGGAAATAATTATTTCAGACCTAAATAAGTTAAAAATATTTTTATTAATGCCTTATTTGCTTTTAACTTCACCGTATTTCCAGAATATAACTTGTTTTTTTCTTCATTTCAAGCATATTAATATTTTACTTGAGTAAAATTCAAAATTGTAGGTACTTAAAACAACAAATACTTTTATAAAGCACTTACCTTTGAATGTGTGATGGATAAGGTGTCAACCCACACTCTCCAGCCACCCCACTCATATTTGACTGCATGGTACAGCAGGATTCTGAATATGGCATATACCATTTCTGTTATCTTTTGCTCATCTGAAGTCTTAGGATTAAAGTAGCAGAGAGAAAGCATCCATTCTTGCCACACAGAGCACTGTAGCAAGCTCCTAAAATCATATATAAAAAAGTATTGAATTACTAAAAAAAGAGAAAATCACCAGAGATTTCTAAAGCATAAAGGTCTATAAAAAAAAAAAAAAAAAAGGGAAGAAAGGGGGGGGGGTAGGGGAAGGAAGGAAGGAAGGAAGGAAGGAAGGAAGGAAGGAAGGAAGGAAGGAAGGAAGAGAGGAAGGAAGGAAACCAGACCAGGCATAGTAGAGCATACTTTTAATCCCAGCACTCAAGAGGCAGAAGCAGGTGGATCTCTGAGTTGGGAGGCCAGCCTGGTCTGCAAAGTGAGTTCCAAGGCAGACAGGGCTACACAGAAAAATCCTGCCTCAAGGTAGGGTAGGGAGGTAGACCCAAACCATAGTTATCTATAGTACTTCCAAAACAGTTTAACAATATGCTAAGAAAAATTCTGTGTGTTACTTACACACACCTACAAAAGGAATTTCCTAAGACAAACTGGATCACGAAAAGCAAGCATGAACACTGTAAACAAGCTTTCTACTCCAACTTACCTCCTGTTCTCCCTGCTGTTATTAAACAGCTTAATCATGTCAGAGAGAAAGGTGCGGCGAACCTCCATGCTCTCTGGGCACTGGGGAGAATTTCGAAGTAGGGTCGCAATTACTTTTAGTATCTCTGTAAGACAGTTCATGAATAAGTAAAAATCAACAACACAAACATTCCTGGAGCTAGATTAAACATTTCCTGAGATAGCTTTATGTGTACTAAAACATTTTTCAACAATTGGGGAAATGTGCAAACTTACAACTTACTTTAAAGAACCTATAAATTTATAGAAAGGAACTCAGGTTTGTTAAACAGAACTCATCAACGACAATGATAGTGCTGACTGCCTCTCCCTCCCGACAAATGGGCTTGACGTGATGAGGCAAGTGCTCCACCATTACACCCAGCCACATTTTATACAGTTCAAGCAATACGTTTAAATTAAGTAAACAACATGTCCCTGCCAAAGAGGAAAGTTGGTCTTAAAAACAAATGAAAATTCCCACTATATTCAAAATCTTAAGGAGAAAAAATAAATTCTCACTCTGCAACAAAACTCACAGTATACACACAGCTTTTCCCCTATGAAGCACATTATTAAAGCTCTAAGGAAGTGAAGGCATTCAACAGTGCCGTAGTGACCCCTCGGCAGAATGTAGCCACTACTTATTGTCTTCACATTGGGCCCTCCATGCCCTTAACCACTGAGCCAGGTTTCCAGGCCCTGGAGGACCTGTATCTAGAACCACTTTATACTGCCTGCATTCCAGCAGCCAGAGGCTTAGGATTAAAAGGTCAAACACTATGGTTTGTGGATCCTCTCCAAAATGCAAGTGGCACCCACATGAAAAAGCTAAGGGTGGGATCTTTAGAAAGTAAGCCAGCCTTGAGGGCTTGCCAATGAGGGCTCCAGGGCAGCTTTCCATCTTGTTCTGTCTTCCTTAGTGGGCGAAGCAACAACCCTCACCAGACCTTTACCTTGGACTTCTGAGCATATAAATGTTTAAAAAGTAAATTCTATTCTTTTGAATTATCCAGTCTCAGCTACTAAGTTAAAACAGTATGTTCTAAGCTGATAAAATACCCTAAAATTCTTATATTTCAATTTTTCCTTTTTTTACTCTGAATAATAAATCACATCATATGTCTTGGAAAGCAGAAGAAATTGACCTTTCCAGTTTCATGCTTTTAAAATTGATCTGATAGTTCAGGTGGTGGCACTCGCCTTTAATCCCAGCACTGGGGGAGGCAGAGGCAGGTGGGTCTCTGAGTTTGAAGCCAGCCTGGTCTAGGACAGCCAGGGCTACACAGAGAAACCTTGTCTCATAAAAAAGGTTTTTTAAAAGAGGATATTATGTAGCGCACTCTATACAGAAGGTCACTAACTAGAGGCTAGACGTCCTCCCATAGGAAACATAATTAAAGTGCTAACAAGTCCTCTCACTAGTCACGCTGATGACACGGCCTTAAAAATTGGATGAGAAAGGAACTTGCCGAGTACGTAAGAACTCCAAGTTAAATAAAACTGTGTTCCTATATCAAATCTGGCATTTCTATAAAGGCAATAATTTAAACTTTAAAATAAAAACTGCCCCCCATTGTTTATGTAATTTTCCCTAACAACACTGAATAACATAATAAAACTTTTCTTAAAAAAAAAAAAGGGAAAAAAACTAAGCCAAGATCATATAAATACAATTTTAAACCATCACATGAGCCAGGTAACAATAACATTCAATAAAAACATAAATAAAACCTTTGATTCATTCCTTGAGAAAATATTTTACTTCTTTCAATAACTAACTTTTGGTTTTTCATTGAGACTTTCTCTGTAAAGCAGAAGTGAAGTAGGTCAAATACATACGCGGGTTTTGTATTTTCACTGTGGAGTCGGGGTCTGGATGCTGTTTGTGTATCACCTGAGTACAGATCTGCTCTATGAGAATCTGCAAAGGTGAACAACAGGCCCGTTAGCACGGTGCTGGGAGAGCAGCCCAGGCAAGGCTCAGTGAGCACTAAGGCTACTGTGGCTGCTGCTGCACACCCACACCTTCAATCTCCCATTCCTCTAGGGAGCCTGAGGCGGGAGAACAGCCAACACTCTACAGCCGGCCTTGGCTACAGAGCTACGTTCCAGGACAGCCGAAGCTGCAGCCTGAGATGCCATCTTGAAAATAAAACTTATTTTCCATGCTAAGTTTGTTAGACACTAAATACCTTTAACACTGCAGTGCTATTTTTATTTCATTACAAAATGAAATACCAAATAGTCAACACAATGGAACAAACACAAAATAAAGATAACTAGATTACTTAGTAATTCATAAATAATGAACTCAGAAATGCAGCCACATTACCTTTAAATAATTGAAAAGTGTGCAAGAGAAGTAAATGATCTCACTTCGTTTATTTAAATATTGACAATTCTACAGATGCCTTCACAATAATTTCTGAGCAAATTCAAGCTCCATCCTTACCTCAAACAGAACATTATATGTGGTCATGGTGATTAGATTTGTCTGAAGCGTGAGCCTCTCAGCCAGCAAGGAAAACAACCCATGCCCAAGCATGACTTCAGCTTTTCTCCTAAAAGAACGTGAAAGCAGTCACCAAACACAGAGTTTGGGCGTTCACAACTAGATAAAGGAAACACTTTTGTTTTTCTGATTGTAAATTTCAACTCAGTTACTCTCACAACATTTTTCAGTGCTAACCACAGTATAAAAAGATGGGCTCCGATCCAGCAGAGCAAAAACTTGCACTGAATTCTTCAGCGCGGTTACCTGTTGCTGCCATCTGCCAGCTCTGGCCTATGCCCTACTATGACAAGCATCTCGGGAACACAAATGCCTCAGAATCACCATGTAGACGAAAAAAAAGAAATGCACATAATTTAAGAAACTGAACACTAGAAATATGTACACTAAAATTAGCATTCCAGGCATAAACTTTAAAACTGGAAATCACATACTTTAATTTTACCCTGGGGTCAGCAAGCTTTTTCTATATAATAAATATTTAAGGTCGTGTGGGCCATGTGGTGTCTGTCACATTTCAGCATTGCCTTTATGCCATGGAAACAGTCAGCTATGCAAATACTAGCATGGCTGTGACGTGATGAACTTATGTGCAGGCAGCAGCTGGGTCAGAAGACTGCACATCACCACCGCCTGTTTGTACCACCTCCGAAACATCCAGTTCTGTAATAAACCGCAGCATGACACCAGACAGAAAAACATGCTGGCTGTCAGACCAGGGTCACTCTATCAAGGCCAACGACACAGATGATACAAGGTGATCCAGTTCACCAACATGGAGCCTTCGGTGCACGCACACTCATTTTCATGAAAACCCAATACACAAATCATTTAGGTAATTTTCATGTAAGAACCTAAATACTCCTGTCCAGTTGTATCTTTAGAATGTGCAATAAAGGCATTGAATTCATAAGGCAACCTATGAATAAAAATTAAGAAACGGCAGAACAACAAAAAAAAGTAATTAAAGGAACCACAGAACAGAAACATTACTCCAAAGCTTTAAATAAATAGGGTCCAACAGTTGATTATAGATTTCATCATACTCACTTTGGGGCCAGATGTTTTAAGAAATAGCCCAGTGCCTTGAGTGCTTGTACTCTGATTCCTTCACTTTTTGATGCCAAAAGTTTATAGATAACACTAAATAAAAAGAAATTAAGAAAAATAACTAATCTAAATATAATTTTCAAGCTTAATATCATTACAAACTTATTCCAAAAAAAAAAACATATGTAAATTTAATATAGATTTCTAACATGGACAACTCATTTATGTCAGCCTATAGATCCTTTTTGTGAAAACAAATCAGAATTAACCAAAATTTCCAAAATACCCAAATGATTTCTCAAGGCATATGCACATATGCTAAACTTACTATAAAAACCTGGCTTAAACACTGTTTAAAGCCAGCACAGAGATAAATTTATGAGTAATCATTATCACCATGAAAAACAAAGGAATGGAATGGACCAGTAACGTGTGATCATCACAAAGACAAAATAGTTCATTTTCGGTTTTAAAAGTGATTATTAGGTGTGGTGAGACTGAGGGAGACTGAGGGAGGAGGATCTCCACGAAGTTTGGGCTCTGTAGGAGAAAGCCAAAGCAAGTACTGTCAGCTAACTAGAGGTCTACGGCTAGGAAGTCAGGCCCCCGTGGGGAACACGCTGTTGTAGGGGCAAACTGGCCCAGTGTCACCCGGCCTTTAAATGCCTATGCTACCCCCAAAGACAAGGGCCCTGGGCAGTGGGGCTGGGAATGTGAGACTCGTGGCTGCTGAAGATGCTGAGAATATAAACACCACACATTCCAGCCTTCAAGGAACGTTCCAGAAGACGCTAGAAAAAGGAAAGAGTTGGAAGACAGGGAAGGGCTATAAATGCCATCTCCTCGGTCTGAGGCAGTTACTGTCATCTGGAACCCGCCCAGCAGCTTTGCTTACGCTCCCAAAGACCCTGCCAACAAGCCGCGATGGGTGGGGAGCTGTGGGGACCCAGCTCTCCCTGCTAAACGACTGGCTAAGAAGTTCTGGGAGACAGGCAGTCGCCGTCTTTAGGGTGCAGCCATGTGTGAAACCAACCAAAACCTACGCACACGTCCACACCTATGGTCACACGGATGGCCCAGCACATTAGAAACAGAGCAGGAAGACGTGAATGTGGGAGAAGGGGAGTCTGACAAGAATGCAAGATGACAGTGGTAAAATGTATTTTATGCAAGTTTGAAAACGCCAAGTAGATATTTAAGTAATGAAATAAGCAAAAAACAGCAATTATAAAATAAAAATTTTAATTAAATAAATGAAATAATTCCAAAAATAAAATAGACTTAAAACCACAACTAAAAGGATGAATTTTACAATAAATTCTCCAAAACATTGATTTAATCTTCAAAGCACAATACAGCCTCCTGATAGATCAATCAGGTAAAATTCAGATAGTTACTATGGCATTCTTTTCTACAAAATACTTATTACAAAGACAAAAACTTGATTTTTATGACGAGTTAAAAATTAAGATGAGGCCAAGCTGATCCTGCACGCCTTCAATCCTAGCACTCAAGAGACAAGGGCAGAGGAACCACAGTGAACTTAAGACAGTCTAACTTCTCTTGTCTAAAAAGTAAGAAAAAAAAAAAGACAGCATCTCCAGAGGTAAATTGCTGCATTTAACAACATATGCAAAAAAGCAGATTAACAGGAGAACTTAAGAGTCATTCACAAAAAACCATAAAATAATCTTGATTTAAATTATTTTCTGCCACAAACTTTTTGTAACCTAGAATTAAATAATGTCTCATATTTCAGAAGCCAGTGCTTCCACAGCAATGCTTTAACTCTAACTGGGATTCTGCGTGTGCTGACTCCTACCGTAGCCCGTTCCTCTGGCCAAAAGCGGGAATCATGGAGCCAGGGTGCTCCGCCATCAGTGCAACAAGCAGCTGCAGGACATCCATCAGATTGTCATCCTAGAGTGATTTTAGAAAATGAGGAGTGCAACGAGGAAAAATCAGCTCTTTGAATAGTGAATACTCCCAAAACAACATAAATTTTGACTTTAAATAAGTAAATAGGCAAATCTACAATTTACCAGTTTTGAACAAATGGTATTCTTTGATATTTTAATTGTAAGTAAAATATTTACTTACACCTCTATTTTAAATATACAGTTCAAAGTATATACCATCCTACCGAGTTGTAAACACATTAATCAGTGAAAACAAAACAACGTATAAATACCATAAAATAGCCAGCACTTTGTTGCTCAGAGAGCTGAAACGGCTCTTCTGTGGCCTCCTATCACAGCAGCATACTCTGCAGACACAGGGCGGCTGTGCATCTGACTTAATGAGCTGCTTGTTGTTGCCACCACAGGTCAGCTCGCAGCCAGTGCCCAGGGATCTAATGCCCTCTTCTGGTCTTCACAGGACACACCAGAACACACAGGAATCATACGTTGCAGCAAAACATATACACACATCGGATGGATGGATGGATGGATGGATGGATGGATGGATGGATGGATGGATGGATGGATGGTTTAGTTAAAAGCTGAACCCATTTAATTTTCAACTAAAAAATTTTAACCATATCACAAATGTGACTTATTTAAACAAAGTATCTAAGCATGGAAAAATCTGCCAGAGGAATGTGTTACAGCTCTCAAATCTAATCGTTTTCAGCTATTTTCGAGTCTACTTTCCTCTGTTACACTACTGCCTAACTAAACGCTTTAGTGTACTTTCTTCACTAAATAAAACCCAACTTTAGCAACTTCTTAAGCTCTTTCACGATGCTTCACAGAGCTGTGGTAATAAAAACCATTAAAGTGAGAATTCATTAGCACTAAATAGACTTACTCTCATGACAGGGATGTAAGTAGTAAAAAGCTCCTTGATGTTTTTACTTTCAACAAAACATCCCTAATGCAGCTTTAAAAAAAATCCCCAAATCAGAAAATCAAGTATTACCTCATGCATAGTCAGCAAGTAATTAAGAATAGCCTGTAGCTCATCTTCCTTTACTCCAGAGTCCTTCAGAAATATAACACACATATCTTAGCATGACACATAAAACTCATTTTTTAAATCAGAAACCATAAATAGATTAGTTGAGTTTGCCAGCTGTTATAAATCTAAAACTAACACAAAAATCTAAATTTAAAGTAAAATTTTGAAGAAGCACAAAAGACATACAGCCTGAATACTACACAGAAATCAAGGGGCAGGCAGGTCTCTTGCCAAACCTAATGTGACAGATAAGAGGGTTTGGCAAAAAGAACAAAGAATAAAATGGTGAAGAAATACTGCACAAGCCAGCAACCTTAGCACCTAGGAGGTGGAAGCAGGAGAAGCAGGAATGCAAACCATGCTAAAACTCCACAATGAGTCCAAGGGCAGCCTGGGCTATACGAGACTCTGTCTTAAAAAAGAAAAAACAATAAAATACTGGCCCAAAAAAAAAAAAAAATCTAAAGACTGCTATTTTATAAAACCAAAATGCTATTTTTTTTCCATGTCTTGTTTATTTTTTATTTTTGTTATTAATTAATTCCATTTACTCCTCCATCATAGGCCCCTCCCTTCTCTTCTCCCAGCTCTATCCTCCCTCCCACATCACCTCTCCCCTATCCCTCTGAAGAGGGGAGTTCCCTACCCAGACACTCATCTGTTCATATGAGGTCTGAGTTCCTCTGCCTCCCCTGTGGCCTGGTAGGGTGGTCCCGTTAGGGGGAGTGCTCAGAAAGCGGGCAACAGAGTCCATGTCAGAGAGAACCCCCACTCCCTAACCAGTGGCCCACATGAAGCCTGAGCTGCCCACTGGATACTTATAAGTAGAGGCCCTAGGTCTAGACATGCATTGTCCTTGGTTGGCGCTTCAGACTCCATAGGCCCCTCAGGCCCTGGCTGACTGGCTCTGATGGTGTTCTTGTGGAGCTTCTGTCACCTCTAGGTCCACCCCCGCCCCTTTCCAGCAGACTCCCTGTGCTTTGCCCAGTGTTTAGCTGTGAGTCTCAGTATCTGTTTTGAACTGTGGCTGGGTGGAGCCTCTCAGGACCTCTCTGACAGGCTCCTGTCTGCAAGCTTATGAGAGTATCATTAACAGTGACAGGGTTGGCTCTCTCCCACGGGGTGGGCCCTAAGGTTGGGCCCAGCATTGGTTGGACATTCCCTCCACCTCTGCTCTATCTGTTCTGTCTTTGTCCCCGCAGAGGTTGTAGGCAGGGTATGTTTTGGACTGAGGCCTTTGTGGGTGGGTTGATGATCTCCTCAGTCCACTAGGAGTCTTGTCTAGATAAAGGGTGTCCTCTCCAGTCTTCATGGCCCCTGCTACTAGGAGTCTCTCCTAGAGTCCCCCTGGTGTCCTCCCAGGGGCCTGTTCTGACTTAGGTCTACAGCTGGTCACAGAGATGCCCCGCCCACTGTTTCTATTTTCTCTGCAGGCCTCTGACCTCTGGCCTCTCACCCCTGCTCTCCCCAGGCCTGAGCTCACTTTATTTCTCCCTGAGCTCCTTCTTCTGTCTTGTTCCCACTCTGCAACCACTGCCTCTGTCTATTCTATTTCCCTTCTGAGTAAGATTTCAGTGTCCTGTGACAACCACATGATGGCAAGGATGTGCAAAATGTTCTTTTTAAAATTACTAAATTTTATTTTTTTTATAATAAAGACATAAAATGTGATGATTTCTAAAGGTGGATAAAGGCTGTGGCACACGTACACAAAATTTGTTTCTTCAAGTCTGGTACACAGTCAAGGACCCCTGAAAACAAAGCCTTGTTTAGGAGCCTGGTTGGCTGCTGCTCACACAGGCCAGAGCAGAACCCAGTGTTAAACGAGGGTTTTAAACATTTGCCAAATGAAAGGACAAATGCCCTTGAAATCTCATGGAAATTTGTATAACATGTATTAAAACTGCCAAACTCAAATTCTGACGTAATTTATGTATACCCAAGAGAAACAAGAATGAAACAGTATGAAAAAAAAAATCTCTCAACAAAGTTCTGTCTTTTTTTTACTGTAAAAAATAAACAAGCGGAGACCTATTTTCTGTGAAGTTGTCAGCTAAGACATGCAGTAGGAGGCAGGGGAAGAAACAAACTTACCTTCATCACTAACTGCTTAATGAACATCAGTAAGAAGGCTCGCAGAGAAAGTATTTCTTTCTGACTGGGTCTCGGTCCATCTTTAAAGACATACATAGTTAGTATTCTGAAGATCTCAAGGCTAACTACCACACAAAGCTTTCCTTTCCAAGACCTTTCCCATTTTCTAAAAGAAACTGCTGAGCACACTGCCACACACCTTTGCACCCAGCGCTCAGTCAGAAACAGATCTCGGGGTTTGAGGCCAGCCTGCTCTACAGACTGAGTTCTAGGCCAGCCAAGGCTACATAGTGAGACCCTGTCTCAACACACACACACACACACACACACACACACACACGCTAAAGAGAATCTTCTAAAGAGACTTTCCCTTACGCCTGTTGAAAACCAAGCATTCACTTTCACAGGCAACTCTATGCCCAGTACTCCAAAAGCACAGAACCGATTCTATCGTGTGCTGGACATGACACGGCCTTGGGACTCTTGCGTACCTACACGAGGCGTGAAAGTAGGCGAGGACTAGGCGGGAAGAACAGGGCCAGCAGGAACGAAGAGGAACAGGATATCGGCTCATGGGGAGCGGGCGTGATCACAGCATGTTGCAAACAAGCATGTGGGGTCAATTTGTACTTGATAATAGTACTTACGTTTTATTCTGAAAGGGCTTGTTACTAAGGTAACAGAAATTTACCAAAACATTAAAACGTACAGGAAAATCTAAACTCCGCGCAGTAAAACGTTCTGTGAACTGGCTATGAAAGGACTTTTTCTACTGGTTTAAGCTCTCACAGAAAGCATGCATCACCCCACAAGGCTGCTAAAGAAGAAGAAAGACTTTATGCTGACTACCTCTGACATCTCCAGGACTTGGGCAAGGCCTTGGTCACACATGGCTCACATTAAGTCAATTTTCATGTCTCAGGCATCTCATTCTGAAGTACAAAACTTCTGAAACCAAATAACTATTGTTCTACGACCTCAAGTTAGGGACCTGTTTGCCTCATAAATCCTGAGTTCCCCCCAGTAATCACTATTTACAGCTAGCACCCAGACCACCAAAGCACAAGACCACCACGACCTTGAACAGATCAATTAAAGTAGGAAGAAAATTGTGTAAAATGTGTTCCACATGATAACTCCTAGACAAACATCAAGCTAAACAGATGAGAACTAAATCTGTCCAGCTCCCCTAGCCGACCTGTGAGACTCCCTCAAGTCACTAGGTACTTAGGAAATGAAGATCAGGGCATGAGACGGGCCATCAAGCAGAACTGAGAGTCCTGCAGCACGTGACCTCCCCGGCAGGCTTTCTGCACGTGCCAGTGCTCGCCAGCCTGCACACTGGTGCGGGGTGTGTCCTTGCAGCTCTCTCAGCTGGGGATGCAGCATTCTCAGAGAATGAGGCACTACTTGGAAGGGTACATCAAGTAGCAGAAAAGAACAAAACCTATTTTTGTAAGCAACTGAACAGTCAGAGCTGTGACAACAGTGGCATTACACAGTATCCTGGCTCCGGTAATCTGAAGAAACCATCTTTAAATGTTATTCATGGACAGAGCCCTTGTTCACCTCAGACTACGAGTGAGGAGGTTAGGCACCCCCGAGTGTGGCCAGCAGTGCAATCGCTGCCACAGATGCAGGCACCGGATCAAGCCCAGCCTCTGACAACAGAGAGACTTGAGCATGCCCGATCCAGGGCAACGCTCTTCACAGCAGCAGGGCGCGCAGGCGGAGCGGCTGCTCACCACCACAGAGGCAGGGACTCCCGACAGCGGCTGCACAGAGCTCGTCATGGGGACAGACAGATGTGCCCAACACCTGCCACGCACGGCTGCACCTGAGCGCCACTTTGCGTCAGCCGGTCAGCTCGCTTTCAACACAAGCCAACTTGAAGGAGGCTCTGCACACCTTAGAGTTTTACTCTGGCCTCCTCCATGAACTTTCCGGTGTTCGGAGAGTGTTACCCTTGCCGCACTTGTCCTGATTATGAAGGAAACAATCACTGAAATCTCAAAGCTTTACTTCACCGCTACTGTGAACAGAAACGCCCTGCACTTCCAAGAACTTTCCATCTCCACAAAGCTCCACTTTCGGTGACTCACTACAGTTATCTCAGCACCGACACCACTAAGCAATTCATGTGTCTTCTCCGCGGAGACGTGTCACAACTAGCCCGATGGTATGTGCTTAGCCACAGCTTACTGAAAAGAGTAACATCCCTTCAACAGTAGCGCAAGGTCGGCAACAGCACTGATGACAAACTAGTGAGCTCTGCTCTAGGAAGGGGCTGGAGAAATGGCTCTGAGCTTGTGAACACTGGCTGCTCTTCCAGAACACCCAGGTTTCATTTCCAACATGGCAGCTCACAATCTCCTACCCCAGTTCCCAGGGGTCTAACACCCCCTCTGGCCTCTGAAGGCACTAGGCACACCTGTGGCACACAGACATACGGGCAAACCAAACATTCAGACGCATCAAGTGAAACGAAACATCTCTCGTTGGCCTCTTCGCACCCTGGTTTGCCACGTGCACACAGCATCCAGTCAGCAGCCTCTACCTAATCCCTTGGGGGTGATGCCGCTGCGGTCCTGCGGGTTCACTGCCCAGTAGTAGTACTTGAGCGTGTGCGTGATGAGCAGCACTGTCCCGACTCTCCGAATAGTGTTGTATATGCTGACTGTACCGATGAAGTCAGTGGACAGGTACGTGTAGAGCATCAGCTGAACCTACAGAAGCAAAATGCAGAGCACAGTCAAAGGAGGTCACTGGCACCTGTCTCCCAGGCTGAGTTCTGGACTACAGTTATTCCAAAAAGTAAGATGCTGTGCTTGGTGACATCATATCAGACATCAAAACACACGAGCATACACACACAACTTATAAAGTAAACATCCAAAATATGGAACTTTCTGCTATATTATCCCATGGAAATAATTCTTCTATCCCAATATAGCGAACACCAACTTTTCACTAACATCTCTAAGTTTATAATAAATGTATGATTAAGCAATTGTTTTGTTTTGTGTGTTTTTCTAGGTCAATGGGTGGGTGGCTTTGTTTGTTTGTTTGTTTGTTTTAGACAGTCTCACTATATTCCCCTGGCTGGTCTGGAACTCACTATGTACAGCAGGCTGGCCTCAAATTCACGGGCATCAACTGCCTCTATCCCTTGGGTCCTGTAATTTAATATTTTCAGGGCCACCATGTCTGCCTTAAATAATTGCTTTGAGTATGTAGATGCTTTCAATATTTTACCAAAAAGTAGAAGCTGGGACAAGAAGTCTTGGTGAGAAAGTGTGAGAAACCGCCTTTGGATCCCCAGAAGCAACGCGCAGCCACACACAGTCTGTAATCAGCACGCCTACACAGAGGTGACACGCGAGGCGGAGAGGAGCCCAGACACCCGCAAGCCTGCGTGCACAGGAGCAGTGAACAAGAGACGCTATCTCAAAGGAAGCCAACCGTAAGCCTTCATGCTGCAGAATGGCCTCTGGCTGCCACACGGGCTTATGGCACGGGCGCCCGGTCACACAACAACATGCGCGCACTTAGAAACATGCACATACAGGTTTGAAAAAGAAAAAGGCTGGTATGACTCAAAAACAAAACACACAGAAATGTTCACATCTACATTCACTTCAAATGAAAGTTCTTACCATATTAGAGAAAGTAAGAGCTCAGGTACTAACCCCCTCAGCACAGCTCATCTCCGCACAAAGTTTCAGTGAAACCATGCTCTTCGGCAGCAGCTACCCTCAATACGTACAGCAGAAGCAGGACGACCCTTGTTGTACTCCCACGCTGCACCCACCAAGTCTGTACGCCTGGCTCGTGGGTGGGTTTTATAAACTGAGCGACTGCTGTCCAGCACACGCAATCTCCCCTTAGACTAAGTCCCACCGGTGTGTTTGCAAGGGAGTGTTTACATTGCCTTCCTGGACACTAGGCATTTTCTTTTCTTTTTTAAATTGCTTTTTTGACTCACTTTACATCCTGACTGTAGCCCCACCCCGCTCCCCCTCCCAGCCCTTCCACACCTTCCTCCTCCCCTATTCCTCAGCAAAGAGGAGCTCCCTTTCCCATCCACCCCAGCTCATCAAGCTACATCAGGACTGAGCATGACCTCTTCCCTTGTGGCCCGGCAAGGCAGTCCCACCAGGGGGAAGTAATCTAACAGCTGACAAGTGAGTCTGTGTCCAATGTTCCCTACTAGGGGACCCACAGGGGGTATATGAGCTGCTCATCTGCTACATCTCTGTAGAGGGACATAGGTCCAGTTCCTGCATGGTCCTGCATGATGCTTCAGTCTCAGCAAGTCACTCTGGGCCCTCGTTAGTTGGCTGTTTGTCTTCTTGTGGAGCTCCTGTCATTTCCAGGTCCTTTTCTCTTTCCTCCCATTTTTCCACAAGACACCCAATGTTTGGCTGTTGAGTCTCGGCACTGCTGGGTAGAGTCTCTCAGAGGACAACTCTGTCAGGCCCCTGTCTGCAAGCTTAGCAGAGTATCGTTCATAGTGTCAGGGGTTGTCTCTCCCCACGGAGTCGGTCCTGGGTTGGGCCAGGCACTGGCTGGGCATTCCCTCGATCTCTGCTCTGTCTTTCTCCCTGCCCAGCTCGTAGGCAGGGTGAATGTGGGGTTGAAGTTTTTGTGGCTGGGTTGGTGTTCCCCTCCCTTTACTGGAAGAACTAGTCTGAAAAGGAGCCCTCTTCAGTCAGTCTCTGTGGCCTCTGCTACTAGGAGTCAATGAACCCCTTCACAACCTCCCAGGAGCCTACCCTGGGAGTCTCCAGCTTGTCACAGATGTCCCCACCCTCCGTTTCTCTCTTCTCTACTGAGGACACAGAGAGTTAATATGGGGGAGAACAGACCTGGGGAAAGCGAGGGCAAGAGGACAGAAAGCATTTTTATTTTCAGCTCTGTGCTGAGACTCACTGTTGTCGGGGAATTTGTCTAAACAAGCAAATACTAGGTACAAATCCCTCAGATGCTCTATAAAGAACCAACCTTAAGATCTAATCAGTAATCTCATAGTAGATGTGTTAAAAACAGTGATGCTGAACCAGATAAAACTGAGGTTTAGAAGACAACTGCACCCTAGAAAAATCAAAACTATGCTGAGATTTCAGCTAAGCTGCTCCACGGTAATGTTTTTCTGTATTTGCTGATGTTAAAATGAGTGGCCTAAACTCTCTGTCACTAAAGCAAGACAATACTTCCTATAGCATCCTTCACATTCTTAAGCACTTTATGTCAGATCAGAAATACTTCCCTGTACCTGTATACACAGCACTGTGCTGTGGATTATAATGACACACACAGCCATCCCTCACACGAAAACACACTTAGAGATGAAAGGTACACAGCAATCCAAGCTATGAAAGCAGACATGAGCAGGCGTGGCAGGTGGGGCAGCTGAGTAGTAACGCCCTTGTGTGGCATGTGTGAAAGCACTGGGCTCAGTCACCAGCACCCTAAGGACACAACAACAACAAAAGGTCACGAAGCAAAACCTAAGGAAGTGGCTCAGACTGCTGACACGGTAACTTCAGAGCCAGGAGCTGTGGAGATAAAGTGAGTCTGCAGGGAAAGCCCCATCGATCAGAAAGCATGAGGAAAACTTTGAAGGCAGGGAGCAGCACAGGCAGACACAAGGAAAGGAAATTTCAACAAGAAAAAATGGTAGCTGAAAAGATGGTATCCTAGTTATGGAGCAGCCATTTTCCAAACTCACCTGTGCATGAAAGGACCTGAAAAAACATTCTCTCTCTTTTTAATTATGAAGCATAAGTCATACTCCACACTCATGAAACCAAAGTCTGCAGAGGACAGGGTAGGACTCTGCTGCACTTTTCTTTTTAAACGCTTTTCTCCACTGACTGAGCAGCAGCCAAGACTGGGAACCACTGTGCCAGTGAATCCTTACAGCAACTGCTGTTGAACCAAGGATATCTGAATTCTACAAGATCTAGAATTGGCAGAAAGGCTTAAAGCTCGCTGAAAGGCTAGCTCACTCTGAAAATAACAGGAAAATGAAGTCTGAGAGACTAAGAAGGGCTCTGATGAGAATAGCATGTCTGGAACATAAAGAACGTCCACTGTGGCGATGCTCACCTGTGATCCCAGAACTTGGGAGACAAAGGCAAGAGGATCCAGAGTCCAAGACTGGCAGGCCACAAGGAGAAACCGAAGCCAGTCAGGACTCACAGAGCTAGCTCTGTTTCAAAAACAACAACATATACAAGATTCCTTAAATAAAATTAAATTAGATAGACAGTGGATAAAATCAGGTAATATGAAGAATGATAGTATGGAAAGAAAAATGTGTTGGCTTTAACAGCAACATATACTGATAAATGAAAGCACAGGCCTCTACACTAATTAGGAAGGAGCCTCCCTCACCTCTTTCACACATAACGCCATCACCTGTGCAGCTTTGTCTCTGTCAATGTGGAAGCCTGCTGGGCTCCCCACTCCACCCAGAACCACACAGTCACCCCACAAACTCTTCTAGTAAACAAAAGATTACTGCAGACCAAAGACTGGCAGTTCCTTCAAGGCTACAGTGACATCACCTGGGAGCAGGTCTAAGGTGAGTGACCCAGAGGAGGGCCTCGATCCCTGCTCAAGGCTAGTTCACACATCTGAGTGCAGGAGCCAGAGGAGGAGGGTCTCCCGACTCCAGGGAGGCTCACAGGCTCCTGCAAGCCGACGTCTACATGCTCTGCTCCGTGCTTTCGAACAGCTTGCTCACCCCTCCAGCTACAGGAGCTGCCAGCCAGACAATCCGAGTCTGTCCAGAACTGTGTTTGCAACGAACTTAGAGCAAATAAAATTCCTTACGGATATGCCACGCAAACAGCTGACAGAGAATGCTAACCTACGTCAATTATAAACTCCGAACAGGTATTTAAGGAGATTTATTTAAAAGTATAAAAAAAGTGTGATAATATTAGAAACATGGAGAAGCCATGTGATTATATTTAAAGTAAAAACCGGTCCTGTACAACCAGGAATGTAATGAGACACCACCTGACAACTTCAAAAGAGACACAAAGCCTTACAAATATGCTGGCTAGTAAGACAAAAAAAAATGTCTAGTAAAAGATTTTTAAAGTAACTTGAAACAATCTTTGAAAAGAAATAAGACTAAGGTCATGGAAAGGAAAGAGGTCAAATTTCACCTGGAGATAAAACGCTGCTGCCTCCAGCTGCCTCCTCTGATGAGTTCCACATGGCAATCAGAGTCGGCAGCTGCGTTTCTCTTCACCTTTTGAAAACACTGGCTGAAAATAAGATATTATGACCCGAGAAAAGAAAGTCTGCAGACATTTTTTTCCTGACAATTAGAGTAAGTATGTGCTGTGATGGACACAGCAAGTGGGCAATGGGAGAGGGAAGTGGGAACGCGGGGTTAAAATAACACCATTTCTAACAAAAACTGTAAATTACACAACTTGGTAAAACTTTATTTCAAGTTATGCTCAATATTAATTTTAGGACAACAGACCAGGGTTTGTTAAAGATTTTGTTCACAAACTCTGTAGTAACAAATCCACCTATGTTCAAATAGGAAGAGTCGCCTGTTGTCAAAGTACTAAGTTATTTGACAAACACAGAAGAATTTTCTGTGAGTCAATGTTAAAACTAACATTTACTGAGATCACTATATTATGCCTTCAAGAAGAGGCAGTATTTCAGCGGTGGCTTTAAAATGACCCAGCAGCTCACCACACTGGCAGAAGCCCAGAGGAGGCAGACCACAGGAAGAGGGAGAGATGTGAGGAAATGGGGAGGAGGAGGAGAGAAAAAAGGAGGGAGACGGAGGACGTGTGTGTGTGTGTGTGTGTGTGTGTGTGTGTGTGTGCGCGTGTGTGTGTGTGTGCGTGTGTGTGCGTGTGCGTGTGTGTGCGTGAGCGCGTGTGCGTGTGTGTGTGTGTGTGCGTGCGTGTGTGTGTGTGTGTGTGTGTGTGTGTGTGCACGCACACAACATTGTACACACATTTACAACAGAGCACCATGGCTCCATTAGTTCACAACAGAAAACTATATATCGACTGGTAAATTTTCCTGAAAAGCACAACCTACGCTTAATCAACACTGGGCATCCACCGAAACCTTACCTATCATATGTAGAAGGAAAGACAATTCTCACACACAAAAGACTCCACAACAAAAGTAAAACGGGATCACTGTGCATCACCTGGGCTGGAGTGTGGATCCATATGGCAGGGTTGAGAAGAATGTGATCACACAGCTGTTTCAGGAGGGGCATCCCATTCTGCAGATTGCTCAAATACTTGGAAAACGCAAGGCAAAGTTCAAGTACTGCTCTGCTGACATGGGACTTGGAAGACTGTTGGGATTGAGGGGAGGAAAGAAGTTTAAAGGTTACTACTAAGTCAAAGGAAGGTAAGTCAATTACAAGCTGTCAACAGCAAAAGAGAAACTGTCCACAAACTAGGCTCAAGGTTAAAGACGGTATTAGGCACTACCTCACTTCTGGAGCAGAGGGCAGGAAGCAAGGGAAATGCAACCACACTTTAACTTAGGTAAATTTCTATAGGCAAAGAAGACATTCTTGCGGACAGAATCTGTTAACCACATAGAAAAACAAGGACATGGTCTGCACATTAATAATAAATCTGACATCACTTGTACTCACCTTTTCAAGGCTGTAGCCTATCACCAGGAAGCCCTTACAAGCCAGCATCTGCTCCTGCATGGCGAGGGAGCTCTTCAGCACCTCCATGACAAAAGCCAGCAAGGTTGTGCTAGAATAGGACACAAGGCAACTGTCTGAGAAGGAATACCCCACAAGAAAATGTTACACTCAACACACTCATCTCAACAAGACTTTCCTGGTCTCAGGCTGGAATGCAGCTCAACAAGAGTGCTCACATGGCAGGCACACTCCTTGGCTCAGTCAGGGGAAACACAGAGAAGCAAGTTCTACTGGTACTATCTCCAAGATGATTTCCGAACAAAGTACTGATTGCACGATCAAGGTTCACTCACTATTTCATGTATTTTATCACAAACATTAGTAACTTAGAAACAAACATGCACCATAGGAAAAAATGAACATTTGAAAACAAAAGATCTATGTGTCATGAAGGTATTAAGATCTTAATGAATATAGAGCTATAAAAAGGTAAAGGGGAAACTGGAATGATACGGAAAGGAATGGGAGGAACAGCACACCAGGGGCCTTCTGAAAAGCCTCATGGAAACCTACTACTGCAGAAGCTTCCTAAAATGTGTACATACATGAAAGGAATTGAAATTAAGTCCCCATATAATGGAGACAACACTGCTCTAACTAGACATATTATGATGCCACCCAGCACAAGGAACGGCTTCTGTCTTGTTGAGTCACTGGCCATTGAGCCCTACCAAGGCTAGTGGTTACCTCTATAAGCTGACAGTAATGCCATATTGCTGGAAAAAACACAGATCACTAAACACGGAGAAATAAAGGGTCAACAAAGCTACAAAACCTGAGCCCAGGGGTCCTGCAAAGACTGATGCATCAACCAAGGACCATGCATGGAGAGGACCTAGACCCCCTCCTCAGATGTAGCCAATTGGCAGCTCAATGTTAATGTTGGTTCCCAATTATAGGGAGCAGGGGCTGCCTCTGACATGGACTCAGTTGCTTGCTCTTTGATCACTTGCCCCTGGTGAGGTGGTCTTGTTGGCCACAGAGGAAGAGGATCCAGGCAGTCCTGATGAGACTTGATAGGCAATGGACAAATGGAAGAGGACAAGAACTCCCCATTTTAGTGGTCTAGGGGAAGGGGAGACGGGGGGGGGGGGGGGAAGAGGAAGAGGGGGGGGGACTGGGAGAAGTTGAGGGAGGGGACTTCAATCGGGATATATAATGAATAAATTGTAAAAAAATAAAAATAACAAAAACATGTTTAAAAAGCTGGTGCTCAAACAGAAGCCTCCCGACTACTCACTAGTACTCATGGTGCCGGCAGGTGCTCTGCAGGCTACCAGAAGAGATCTGCCAGCACCGATGTCACCAGTTACAGACCCTGCAGTTTACAGCAGCACTCTGCCTGGAGGAGAGCCTGCTAAACTGCAGCACAGAGATTAGAAGAGGAACCAGCCACCTCTGAGATAGCCACTCCATGAGATAGAGAAACACTGCTAAAGTGGCCAAGGACCTGAGACGAGAGAAGTCCTGGCCTCTGAGGAACCTACTACTACTATTTTGCTACGGGAATGTAAGAATAAAACTACTCCTAATGGCATATTATTATACCCAGAGATCAGAGCAGGACTCAGCATCCACCAGACCACTGGACATTGTGCAGAGAGTGACAGACTTTGGAGAACTCAGCTCTGAATGAGCAGTCTTTATCAAACCCCTCCCCAAAGGCTCAGGGACCTATGTAGAGGAGGAGGTAAAAAGACTCTTAAGAGCCAGAGGTGGTGAATGATGGCAAGGAAACAGGGTCTTCCAGACACAACAGGGGTGATAACACATATGAACTCAGAGACACTATGACAGCATGCATAAGACCCACACAAACTGAAACCAGAAAAAAATCCCAGATGGAGAAAAAGTGCATACAAAGTCCCACTCTAGATCAGGAAGCTTTTTACAACTGATGGCTGGTGGGAAAGGGCACGTCAGTTTTCTCTAAGGGCATGTCACTGAGCAGAGTAGGCTCCATGCCCAGTAGTTGGCCAACAGAAAACAGACTCCACGGTTTTGGGTTGGTTTGGTTTTGCATTAGTTCGGTTTGTTTGTTTGTTTGTTTGTTTGTTTGTTTGTTTGTTGATCTCATTAAGGTTTTGTCTGTTTTCACTATCACTTTTTTGGTTCTTTGTTTTTCAAGAGAGAAAACATGAAGTGGGGTGAGTAGGGTGGTAGAGAGGATCTAGGGGGATTTGGGGAAAGGGAATGAGTATGATCATAATATATCCTATGGAAAAAAATTAAAGAAAGAAAAAATAAAAATTATTCTGAAATCAAAAAAGAAACATATGCATGTGTACAACCTTCAAAGAATCAATAAAAGTATTTTTAAAAAAGAATATGTGTAACAATATAATCAAGCATACTCATTTTTTCTAAGAGTTAGAGACCAAAAGAAAGAAATTTAAAGAGAGCAAGTAGGCCTTGCCAGACCACAGGAAAAGAGGACGCACTCAGTCCGCTCAGTCCAGGTGCAACCTGATGAGCTGGGCTGGCTGAGAAATGGGGCTGCCCTTTTCTGAGGAAAATGGGAGAGGGGAAATGGAGAGAAAGGGAGGTGGTACTGGGAGGGGAGGAGGAATGGAACTACAACAATGATGTAAAGTAAATAAAAAATTATTAAAAAAAAAAAAAAAAAAGAGCAAGCAGAATATGGTTTAAGTTCTCAAAATAATCAGGGCTCCAGACTGGACAGAGTCTGCTCTTAGCAAGCATGGAGGTGCACACAGTTAATCCCAGCACCTGGGAGGCAGAGGCAGGAGGATTTCTGGGGGGTGAAGGTCTACAGAGTGAGACTCTGTCCCCAAAATTAAAAAATAAAAAATAAACAATAAAAAAGTAGTTTGTTCCTCCTTTCCATAGGAAAGTCAAGATCCTTCAATCTTGAATTTTAAAAGTGAACAGAGGACACAGCATTCTGCACCACCCACAGCATTTAGAAAAGCCCAAAAAGGCCAAACAGACAGAGGCCTAGTGGCCACTGCTTTTTCAAGGGCTCCGAGGAGAGATCACGGCAGACAGCAAGACTGGCCTTCACCCTCAGAGCTCCGAAGACTCTGAAAGGATGGGGAAAGGAAAACTAACCCTGTTGAAGCAATTGTACTATGCTGAGAGAAATTAAATATTTTAAAGCATGGTCAACACACCAGGTGCAGTGACGCACACGTGCAATGGAAGGGGGGCGTTTATAAGTTCAAGGCCAGCCTGGGTAACACAGCAAACCTCCAAAACACAAATAAATTATTTACCTTAAAGAGCTGGCAAATGCTAGATCTGATTCCAGCTTAGAAAAAAATTAGAAATAACTTGTTGCCTAAAAATCTGAAGACAACTGCCTCATCCTCAGTTAGGATACATGGGTCACAGATTTCAAGTCCCATGTGGGAGAACTTCAAAACAGAACAGAAAGCTCACTGAAATTTCTCAATAACGAAATATAACCACGGACTATACATAACTTCACTGGAGTATGCAGCCACAAGAAATCCCTTCATTCAGACAGCTCTCATTCTCTACAGTTTAACACAGACTTCACCTGCCTCTGCCTATGTAACACTCAGTCCTAGAACACAGAAAATAAAATGTGCCAATATACAACCTAATTTTTAAAAGAAGACAAAACCCCCTTGCCTACAATTAAAATTTTTAATTTTCAATTATACAAATGACTGAGTAACAAACTAAAATATAAAAACCTTTATTCCTTGTTAAATAAAAATTTTTAATATTTTTAAATTATATTAAACAGCACGTGTGTGTGTGTATGTTTTGTCTATTTTTTTCCTTTTTTTACAGTAGGGTTTCTAAACAGCCCTTGCTGTCCCAGAACTCACTGTGTATACAGGCTAAAATTCACAGTGATGTGCCTACTTCTTCCTCACAAGTGCGGGCCCTAAAGGCTTTGCCACCATGCCCAATCAAAATATACCACTCTGAATAAATCAACTATCACTATGTTGGCTTTATTTGGTAACATTTATTGTATTTTAGAGTTTCTCATTTTTTTCTACTACTAAATTAGAATATATCAATAACAATATAATTCATGGAGATTTACAGTATTGTTTATACATAAATTTCTCTAGAATATTGTTACTCTACAACAAAATGAATGGCAATGAAAACCCTATGCTTTTGCCATCATGAATAGGCCTGATGCTGCACACCTGTACTCCTGGCTCGTGAAAACAGAAAAGGTAGAAAGAGGGCAGGTTTGAGGTTATGCTGAGTTACAGGTGACCTGCAGGCCAGCAGGGTAAGGGACACACAGAAAAACCCTCTCTTAAAGACAACAATCAAAAAAAGAAGCCAAAACACTCACCAGATAGTCAGATCCACCTCATCGGATAAATATTGCTTATAATCCAGCTGTGCAAAAAGCGGAAACAAAACTTGCACTCCTCCAATTGAATGCATGGCACTTTGGATGGAATGTGTTAAAACTGCCTTTACATCCTGGGAAAACGAAACACAATAAAGGGTTCATGTTTTCTCTTCTAAAGCCACTGAGAAGAAAATACAGTAGGAAATGTAGGAACACTAAAATATGGTATGTCGCATGTTTAACTGGCTGACACCCACTTGTGTGTTATAAGGAGATCTGAGGAGTACCTGCAGCATGAGAGCATGCGGTGAGTGAACAAAGATGGAAGGGTTGTCCTTGGGAGATGACTCGAGGCACAGCTGGGCATCTGTGGCCCTCGGATTATACGTGAAGGCGATGGCACTGGACAGCTTGCCATCGTACAATAAAAGTTTATGATGTTCAGCCAGGAAAAGGTCACTTTCTGCTTTAAATTTAAATGTACCCTGTTAATTTAAAAAGAAAAAAGAAAGTTAACGTACACACTGCCTAAGAAACTCTAAACACAAAGAGCCCAACGATAAGATCTACCCACCAGGTGAGCGGACCACATCGCGTGAGAACCTCCATGATCCGCCCTCCTGACCCTGTCGCTGAGGCACATCAAATTTCACTGTCCAGCTGCCTCTCCATCACCTGCTTCACTCACTGGTGAGGGGTGTGCTCTCAATCTCCACATGGAACAGCTCTTTCCACATTTTCTAGACTCATTTTATCAGTCACTAAAGCATACTCAGTGACTTCAATGCCTTCACTTCCTGGCATGCTCTGTGGCCCAGCAGGCAGCCTGACCTGAAGCCTCTCCTGTGCACTCCCAGGACGAATGTGCACTATGCTGCTGCCATAGTACTCTGTACGGTAGTTCACCTGTTCTCCACAGTTGTCCACATCCTGTTTTCCTGTGGACCTCAGTTACTGTTTGCTCTCCCTACACTCAAAGTACACACTCAAGTTTCCTACTATTATTGTATTGCCATCTGTGTGTTCCTTCAGTGCGGTCAAAGATTACTTTATACAGTCACACATCACAAAACAATGTTTGGATCAGTGAAAGAATGCATACAAGGGGCTGGAGAGATGGCCCAGTGCTTGAGAGCACTGGCTGCTCCTCCAGAAGCCCCAGGTTCAATTCCCAGCACCCACACTGCAGTTCAGAACTGTGTATAGCTCCAATTCCAGGAATCTGACCCCTCACACAGACATACCTGCAGGCAAAACACCAACCAATGCACATAAAATAAAAATAAGTAAATCACTTTTCAGAAGCTGGAAAGACGGCTCTGTCCCAGTTATGTAAGTCGGGAATAGAAAAGAGCCTGAAAAATGCCCAGAGAATACGAACAAAGAAAAAAAGAGTTTATGGGGGGAACATTAGAGGATACTCATTGTCAGCATCCAGTCCAGCTCCTTAAAAAAAAAAAAAAAAAAAAAAAAAAACCCTTCTAGGTAATTTCTAAGTCCTTAAACGTGCTTCTCAGGGTTCCGCTGCCTAATCACCGTGGTCCAACCACAGCTGCGACCATGGGAGGACATTGAAGAAGAAGAGGGTCCTCAGGCTCTTTATGAGGACACCACCTCAGGCTTGGAGATGAGCCTTCACGACCTAGTTACATCCCACAAACCTCAACTCTTGATATCACCTCCTTGCAAGTTAAGCTTCAATGAATTTTAGAGACATACACAATCAGACCATACCACATAAGAGAGAAAAAAAATTAACCTTAACCTTACTTCATAAAAAAAAAAAAAAAAAATTAATTCAAAATGAACCACAAAGTAACACAAAAATATTAAAATAATAAAACTAAGAAAATCTTTCTAATATTCTGGTCAAATATTTATAAGAACACAAAAAAGCAAAGAAACTGAAAAATGATTCTTGATAAAAATCAAACTCCTGAGCCAAGTATGGTAGAGCACACCTTTAATTCTAGTGCTTGGGAGGCAGAAGCAGGTGAATCTGAGTTCAAGTCCTACCTGGTCTACAGAGTTCTAGAACATCCAGGGCTACACAAAGAAACCCTGTCTCAAAAAAAAAAAAAAAAAATACTCAGGAGAAATTTATAAAATTATGTTCACAATATTTACGGAACTCTTGAAACCCAGTAAGAATATCAATCACAAAAAAGTGAAAACTCACAAATACATGGCTAGTACACAGCAGCACAGAGACCTTCAGTAAAAAATCCAAATTACAACCATAGGGAGGCCAGCCACAGTGACAAACGCCTATCATCCCTGCACTTGGGAGGTGGAGACAGGAGGATCAGGAATTCAAAGCCAGCATCAACTAGGTACAAGGTACATCAACTAGGTACAAGGCTGGCTTGGAATACTTAGGACCCTGTCTCAAAAGAAGTGGGAGAAGAGAAGGAAAGCTATAAAAATTCCTCCAGTAGGAACAATCCTACTCCTGAGTATATATATCCAAGCAAATGAAACAATGATATCAAAGAGACACTTGCACTTCCATGATTATAACAACGTTATTCACAACTGCCATGAAGTACAAATAAGTGCTCGTAAAGAGATAAAAAAATGGGCTGGGCATCATAGCACTTCCTTTAAATCCTTAACACTAGTGAGGCAGAAGTAGGAGGATCTCTGTGAGTTCAAAGCTAGCCTGGTCTACACACACACACACACATACATGCACGTACAGAGAAAGAGAATGAAATACTATTTGGCCATTAAAATGAGTTAAATTATGTCAGTTTGACAATGTGGATAGAACTGGAAGACATATATTAAGTGAAATAACCCAAGACACAGGCAAGTAATTGCCCCATGATCCCCTTCATACTAAGGGATCTAAGACTGTCAATATCTTACAAGTTGGAAGCTGAACGATGGCCACTGGAGACCGAGGTGGTGGAGAGAATGGTCAATGGGTGCTAACTTACACAGACAAAAGAAAGAAGTTGTAGTGCATGGCTATGCAGTGGAGTAACTATAAAAAGAATAATATATATTTCAGAAAAGCAAAGGAAAACTAGAACATTTTATCAAGAAGAATGATAAATGCTTGAGGAGACAGATATGCTGATCCTGACTTGAATATAACACAATGCATACCTATATTTTAATATTATGACTATGCACAATTTCATGTCACCTTAAAGGAAGATTTGCCTTCGTTGAAGAAAAAGAGCATGAAGTAAAACTGAAAGTTGAGCTAGAACTTTCCACACTCCCTCCCAGCAGGCTCAGGTATGCTGCGATCCTCTCAAAGTGTGAAGTACCCTTTGCCCTGTGATTTCCCTGCCGTGCTCCCAGTGCCCTGGTATACACTATAACTGCTCAAGGTGTAACTCCCTGGGTCTAAGCCAGCTTCAGATCCAGCCCAAACGGCTTTCAAACACTGAGCAGTGGACAGGAAGCTTGTACCTTGTACCCCAGGCCCAACTGGTAAATGGCAAAGATCTGAGCTGCATTAAGAGCATCGCTGAAGAGGTAAACTGCAGTCATCTGACCACAGAACACCCGGTTGGCATCGGCCGTTTCTGATGAGCCCAGGAAGCACTTGTCAAAGGTCTATAAAAGAAAAGAGGCTTTATTAAAGACAAACAGACAAACAAACAAAACATCATACACTCTATAAGTGATAGATAGCACATACAGAGGACAAAACACTCTCTGACCATTAAAATGAATTAAAAACTGTCATTTTGACAGTGTAAAAAGAGCTGGGGTATATATTTTAAGTAAAAGAGCCAAGGCACAGGTGGATAAATGCACATATGTGTATCTGTGTTTCTAAACTATGTACAAAGAGAGTGTAACAATTCATTTTGCACTTCACTCCTTCACACCTGAAGTGGGCATTGAGAACGGCATCTTGAAAATGGAAGAACACAAGCTTTCTAAGTTATCATAAATAAAACCTGTTAACAATGAGACAACAGAAAGACTCAAACAAGCTGATGTGATACTAGTAGGTTAAACATCTCAGTTAAACAGAACGCTTCACATAGAGCAGGAAAATCGTGAGTTTGGTTTGGGTCATGTGACCCTTCTCAATGCACCATTTTTACCATAAAAAGATTGGTGTTCCTCATTTACAAAGACTTGGAGACTAAGGAAGCTTATCTTGTTTCCCATCCCCACAGTGTTCTGTGATTCCATGTTTCATACTATTTTCAGGAGGAAAGTGAGTAAGATCATCCCCTGAGGAGGTGAGAGACCAAGACTCAGAACCGCGTCTGACGGAACACGAGCTCTTCAGGCTAACACTATCAACATTATAACGCTGGGTGAGTGGCACACTGTGAAGCTATTTCCTTAGTGGTTTTTACGGTTTCTATAAAAAGAATGTTTGGATGAGAGAAATAAGATCATTTCTATTTCCACTCTAATCTCTGAATTCTAAAAACATAATAAAAATAATAGTACCAAAGCAGCTTTAAAGCATATGCAAAGTGTGTGCATGCATCATCTAATGTATTACAAAATAATAATCTTTATCTCTACCCAGGATATTTTAAGATAAGATACGAGAAATAGCTGATAAATCAACAAGTTCTATCAAAAAATTAACATAGTATAAAAACACATTATAGTGGTCAAAATGTATACTCAGATTTCAAAATATTCTCTTTATAAATTTCATCCCTTCCAAATAATAGCTTTTCACAGTGTACTGATTAGCTCTGCCAACTTAACACAAGCTGACGTCTGAAAGCTACCTCAGGTGAGAAATACCGTCAGGAGACTAGCCTGTAGACCGGCCTGTACGGCAGTCTCTGGACGATGACAGGCACGGAGGGTCCGGGCCTGTGAGCAGTTCATGTGCCCAGGTATCCCGGGCTCTATGGGAAAGCAGGCTGAGCAAGGCCAGAGCCCCATGCCAGGAGACAGCGGCCTCCATGGCCTGGCGTCAGTCCCTGCCCTGCCTTCCTTCAGTGATGAACAGTGACGTGGAAGTGCAAAGAACCCTCCCCACCGAGCTGTTGTGGGTGCTTTACCTCAGCAATAGGAACCCTAAGCAGCACATTTTCAAAGTACTCACATCGCTGGTGTTGACAAGCCATGTGATCTCCCCGTAGGACGCCAGCTCGCCATTGACGTAACACCGAAGCTCACTGTTCTTCCAGCGGTTGTAAATGTGCACTATAGTGACCATGTACCACTAGGTGAACAGAAACAGAGACTCCCTTAGCACCACGGCCACCAAGGCTGGGGCGTTCATGAACCTTAGAAACACCAAGTTGGAGTACTCTTACTGGTCCAACATTCAACCTCTAGAACAGCATTTATTCAGGGAAAATCTCAGCAGATTGACCCTAATCACAGATGATTTTTCCAAAGTAGTATTATGAAAATTTTGAAAGATAAACTGTCTTCTTTAAGTTTTCACTATTTTCCCACCCTTGCTGAAGGCACCTGCTACCACCTTGTACAGACGTTAGTGCTGACTGACCTCTAACCTGCAGGGTGTACACACAGACAGTAGTAAAGCAGCTCTCTTTTTGCTCCTGGCAGTTCTCATCAAATCTACAGATAACTGAATATTCAGTTACTCCACAACCCAAACCATGGATGCTCACGCTGCCTTTCGAGGAAAGCACCCACAGCTGCAAAGCCAGCGGCTAACGGTACTTGGCAGGCTGCACAGCTCCTCAAAGGGAAAGGCTCAGGAGGTCACGTACCTTTTGTGGCTTGAAGTCAAACTTCACACAATGCTGAAAGCCTTTTCCTTTTGACTTTATTGACGTTATGATCAAACAGCCACCAACAAAGTGAGCAGAATAGCCGAGACCTTTGCTGGTTCTAAAACTATGAAGAGTAAGTTTTCATTTTACCTCTAAATGTTATCATTTTCAAACTAAGGTATTAGCACTAATCAATTCTACAGATACATACCAATACAAATATGGTTTATCCTTGTCGACATTAATATTATTTACAGGATCCATTCTGAGCCAGGTGTGAAATGTGAAGCCATTCTGGTAAGGCCATCTGGCTATAGGAGGTAGTGCAATAGCCTGGAGGAAAGAAATGTAGTCACTAACTTGCATGAAAAACGTTATTACTGAACTCATAAAGATGAGACTTTACAATGCTATGTGTGTTTTGCCTGTCTTATGTTACTTTAAGTTATAAAAACATCTCAAAGCAGACTGAATTTTCCCAGATAAAAATTAGTAAATATTAATTGATTAAATGACACATTCAGTGTAGCCTGCTGTGGCCAAACTCATGTCTGCTTCATTTTTACTACAGTCAGAGCCAGAAAGACTCTAGCTTAAAGAAATAGTGCTGCGATCAAACAAGAAAGCAAAAAAAAAGATAGATGGAAAGAAGTTAAAAGGGTTAGTGTAAACCACAAATATAAAACTAAACAACATTATTTCATACATTTTTCAAAATGGTATTCATAGGTCATTTGAGATGTGGCTTTATCACTTAGTCTAAACTTTTTTAATATACTATCAACTGGGTATGGTGGCACATGCCTTTAATCCCAGCACTTGAGAGGCATCTCTGGAAGGTCAAGGCCAGCCTGGTCTACATGACAAGTGACAATTTAGTAAGGGCCACTACCACAAATAAACCAACCAGACACTTAGGATGCTAAGGCAGAGGACTCTAAGCTGACCCTAAGTAGGACACTAGCTTGGGCAACAAGGTAAAATAAAAAATAAGATAAAATAAAAAGTCCCAAAACAACAAATCAAATATCACCAAAGTATTTAGTTTTGTTTTATTTTCTCTTAATGAGACAGGGCCTCATGGAGCCCAGGCTGGCCTCAAATTCCCTAGGTAGCTGAGAATGACCTTGACCTACTGACCTTGCCACCTCCAAAATTTTTGAATTATAGGCATGAATCAACACACTACAAATGTCCTTCAAAAGTATGTTCTTATCTTTTAGCAGACAGTGCCTAACTACACAACCAAAAAAGCAAGCAAGATTTTATAATTAGCAAAGTAATAAATGAATGAAAAACTAGCTCATAAAAAGAAAAGGTTGAAGACCGTGTAACAAACAATTTATTATAGACTGACTGATACAATAATGAATTGTTTGTAGACTCTACAAATAACACACTTACAGTACGTATTTGCACTCACGGCACGCTGAGGCACTGCAAGTGTCACTACCATGCATGGTGGTCTTATTTATAAACAGGGACAACAGGGCAGACAAGGGGCTAAGGACGCGCCTCAGTGCCAGGCCTATTATGTACAGCTGTGGGGCATCCGGCTGAAAGCCCAGCACTGAAGAGGCAGGGCCTACTCAACAGACAGTCTGAGGCCAGCCTGGGCTATACCAAGAGTTTGTTTTTAGCCTGAAACTGTACAGCAAGACCCTAGCTCAAAAAGAATGTGTGCTAAAAATATATATATAGACTGAACCACCAACCAAAGAGCAGGCATGGGCTGGACCTCGAACCCCCACACACGTGTAGCCTGGTCATCACGTGGGTCCCCTAACAACAGAAGCAGGGGCTGTCTCTGCCTCTGTGGCCTGCCTTTGGATCCTTTTCCCTTAGCTGCGTAGCCTTGCAGGGCCTCAGTGGGAGAGGATGCATTCAGTCCTGCTGGGACTGGAGGTGCCACGGTGGGTTGGCACATCTTGGGGCCTCTCCTTCTCTGAGAAGTAGGAGGGAGGGAAATGAAGGAAGAGAGGCATAAAGGTATGACTGGGAGCAGAGGAGGACAGAGTGGGATCAGGCTGTAAAGAGATTAAATAGAGGGCTAGAGAGAGATGGCTCAGTGCTTAAGAACACCCTCTGCTCTCCCAGAGGTTCTGAGTTCAATTCCCATCAACCATATTGGCTCACAACCATCTATACAGGGATCTGATGCCCTCTTCTGGCATGCAAGTCTCTTACAGACAGAACAATCATGTACATAAAATAAATAAATCTAAAAAAAAGAGATTAAATAGATAGATAAATAAATAAATAAAAACATACATACATACATACATAAGTGGAAAAGAAAAGAATTCATTCCAAAGCAGGATTTTGAAGTGTTAGTCTTTCTACATACCAGGAGTATTTAAAAACGGCAAAAGAAATGATACATAAGGCTAAAAAAAAACAGTTCAGAAAGACAGGAAGTTACAGTGTTCCACACTGACAGCTACAAAGATAAATTCACAGAATAGTGTAACTACAGATGAAAGGAAGGCTGTTATTCCTTTACTGAACCAAGCTTTGAGTAGGCAGCTTTCTCAAATGCTCTAAGCATCAATTTCTCTGTGTCGCAAACAGCGAGGAGAAAACCGTTCTAAGGATTAAGTAGACTCCTATGGAAAAGCCTCTGACTAACAGGGAACCTTGTGATGGCAGGGCTACACTTCCAGGAAGTAGGGGAAGGGAAAGCTCGAGTGTGGGCCTCGTGCATGTCTGTCTACTTACTGCAGCGCTCCGCCCTGGGAAGCTGAAGAAGGCATCAGGACCATCCTTCTGAGGCATATGCTTTAACACCGACAACAGCTTCCCAGCATGTGGAGGCTGTAAAATAATGGTTTATTAGTCACTCTGCTCTCCATGAAACAAACATACCCAAAGACAGTCACGCTTGAATATATACAAGAATACCTGAATAACACTATGAGCTAAAAGGTATAAGAGCAAACAATGCTATCTTCAAATATCTTCACAGTATAACGAATTCTGTGATTTTTTTCTGTAACAGTACACATTTGTTGTTAGTAAATACGACCTAATATTTTTTACACCTCAAATACTTCAAAAATTGAGCTTTAAAATTTACAAACTGTCACCAACTCTCTATACATCTTAACAAACACTAAACACGTTTCCAGGCCAAAGGTGCTTTTGAAACGTCACAATACTTGAACCTCACGAGCACCCTACATGGTGGCTCTGTTGCTCTCTGAGGCAGAGGCAAGCTTCAGGTCGCACAGTAACTGGTGGGGTCGGGGCAGAGCTCAGTCTGACTCTAGAGCCCATGGTGTGGCCATGACACTTTCAGCAGTTACATTTCACCTTCACTCTCCTGACTTTAATAGAGACCACCTTTAAAATGGCCTGTCAGATCAGTTTGCATCTCCAACCTCATTTAGCTATCCTTGCCTCCTGGAAGCTACCCACAACGCCTCCTCATAGAATCCTTCCCACAACACTGCCTTCATACAAGCTATTCCTTTTGTTTAAAATGTCCTCACTAAGCCTCCCTCACTCTACTGCCAACCAAGGAAATCCTTCAGACCCTTCAAAGCTCATCTTAAAGTCCACTTCCTCAGGGCAGCCTTTTCTGATTTCAAAGACGTGATTAAATTTCCCTAGCACATTTCATTTTACAATATGCCTCGAATACACAGCATATATAAAGGGTATATTATATTTGTTTCAATGTTTCTTTGACCCACAAGAATATTTAGTACATGAAACAATCAAGAACTAAAATAAAAATCTCATTAATATTTATAAGGCGAGCAAGGGGTAATCAGATACGTATTACCATCTTAATCAGTCTATAAGGAAATACAGTAAAAAATATTTTAAAAAATAAGAACATTCACTCTTCTTTATTACAAGCTGAAAACAGGGTCAAACTACGGGTGAAATCATTGGTTTGCTCCCATCTTGTTTCGTTCACTATTCTAAGCTATTATTACTATGTAAAAGTTCAGTAGCCTTTTATCTTACTAGGAAATGGAAAACTTCAATCTAAGAAATAATTTTTAATCAACCACAAAAAGGTTTGCTTAATAAGTAACTATAATCACAACCATTTTAAATATATTTCAAAGAAAAATAAACAAAAAAATAACTGCAACATCAAACACAACTAGAATATTATACCATTTCTATAAAAAAAAATCATTCCTCCAAATTCCTTTTCCTGTCAACAAATCAACAAAAGAACATAATGAGATGATCCCACCCACAGACACTGTTGTAGGGTACCAGACTGGAAAGCCTTTGAGGAAAAAATGTTCAATTTCAAGAATCCTTACAAATAGCCATGCTCATGAATGTGCTCATTCCACACGTAAAATGGACAGTAATAACCATAAATGTGTGTGTGGACTTAGAAACAGGTTCTCTTCACCCTGCTCTCGCCATCAAAGCAGAAGCAGCTGCATGTGTGACTACAAAGAACTGTGAAGGACTCTGTCAGCTGCGTCTCCTGGGCCTGCTCTACCTACATACCATGGACAGCTACCGCAACACAGTCTGTCACACAGTCTGTCCACAGGGTTTCTGAGGCCTGTAAACAGGCTCAGCAGTTAAAGGTGCTTCCGCCAAAACTGACAACCAGGTTCAAGCCCAGAACACACATGGAAGGAGAGCCACCTCCTTCAGGCTGCCCTCTGCCCGGCAAACATCATAATGGTGCACACGCTTGCAGGCACGCACGCGTGCGCGCACACACACAAACGTAAAAAAGTGTACTATTTTAGCATTTAAATGTAATTCAGCTGATTGATTACTCTCTTCCTATACTTTCACATTTATTTATCTTTTCCATATAACATTTTTTTCCACAAAATGTATTTTGACCATGTTTCCCCTCCCCCAACTTCTCCCTGGTCCTTCGCACCTCACTAACAACCTACGTCATGTGTTCTCAACACCCCCATAACAAAAGTCAAGAGAAAAAAAGTAAAATTCGTAATAATAATAATAATGAAAATCAAAGCAAAAATAAAAAACAACCTTCACACAAACACAAAAGAGAGCTCATCTTGCACTAGCCACCTGCTCCTGGGTGTGGTGTCTCCCTGGAGAGTGCTGACATGCCCAGGGAGGGTCCCCTTCCCAACAGACCTTCTTAGTGAGGGCGGCACTCCACGCCCCCCTCCTCTTTCCAGTTTTGTGCAGTGACTATGAACTGCTACCCAGTATTTGACTCTGGATAACAGAGGGTCATGGGGAGAAGCATGATCAGATGATATCAGGTTGGAACTATTAAAGCGTAAGTGTTTGAAAATATCCACTCCGAGCAGCCTGTCCTTGTGATGAGCACAGAAGCTGATGGCTCTCGGCTATCAAACCGGGGTTCTCGGGGGAGGGGGGGGGGGGGGGGGTATAGTGGAGGAAGTAAGATCAAAATACCTGGAATTAACATATTTTTAAAACAATGTTCAGATGAGCATCTGGCTAGGCACTGAGAATTATTGATTCACTAGATTCAAGTATACTGTATGTGACTGAGGCACACGAGATTCCTCTTCACCTTCCCCCCACTTCAGTCCAAACCCAACCACACAGTTTATCAAGCACAGTATCCAGCTGCTCCTCACCACTGTATTTTAGTAATACTACAGATAAAAGGTGACATGTCGATATTCTTTTTCATGAATACCCATTAATTATCCTGGGTCCCTAGAGCTTCCACGTCTACAAATAAGTACCTGTCTATAACCTTTACGGTTTTTATTTGCTTTTTATAACAATACTTTATTACATAAAGTATTAATTAGATAGTCTAGAAGTTATTCAAACAGTGCATGGCCTCTTGCTGACATAGCGCGAACTAGACCTACACTTAAAAACACCAAAAACAAGATGAAAACGATGCAACAAAAATCATTTTCAGACACCAAGAAAGGCAGGTTAACAATGCACCCTATCAGGAAAGAAAACACACTAGCAGGCCTTTCTGAAGCCAACTCATCACTCCACAGACAGGAACCCACACAGCACATGAAGGAGTTACGGAGATTCCGAGAGAACCCTGAGTGCAGCGAAAGCACGGAGTGCGCAGACTCTGGGGCTGTGCAGAGGAAAAGCCCAGACGCCTACAGCAACAGGGTCCCAGCTAACACGCAGAGAAGACACCGGCAGCTCCAAGTCAGAAGCGCCCTGACCTTCCCGGATACAGACCCACAAGTCCCTCATACTCCCCCGTCAGGCCCAGACTCTGGAGAAGACAGGCTTCAGCAATAAGGAGAACCAACCCTGGTGCGACAAGCCATGCTACACCAGAAAGGGAAAAGGGAAAACAAAGGTTGTCCTGACGGAAGTCACATGGGTGGCCACAAACGGTCTAATCACCTTAAGGAAACCAACAACATACACTTCACTCTATCTTCTCTAACTAGGTCATAAAAGGTAACCTATAGCCAGGAAGCAACATCAGTGTATAAAGTACTGTTCTGGAAAATGGTAAAATTACAGAACCATAGAGATAAAAATACTTCTTGGAGCTGGAAAGATGGCTCAGCATATAAGAGCACTGTCTGCTCCTCCAGAGGTCCTGAGTTCAATTCCCAGCAACCACATGGTGGCTCACGACCATCTATAGTGAGATCTGGTGCCCTCTTCAGATAGAGCACTCATACAAAAAAATAAATAAAATATTTTTTAAAAAATAATTACTTGGTATTATTATCATTATCATCATTATGATTTTTAACATTGTCAAGAAGGGAAATGAAAATATGAATATAAAAGAATGTTTAAGTGGAAGGAGGCTGGAGAGACAGGATAGTGAGTAAAGTGTTCAGAGCACAAGCATGGAGACCAGGGCTCAGGCCCCAGAATCCACATTTTAAAGGCAATGTACATAGGCAGGCATGGGGGCACACACCAGGCAGATTCCTGGGAGTTTGAGGCTAGCATGGTCTACACAGTGAGTTTTCAGGACTGCTACAATGAGACCCTGTCTTAAGAAAGTGAAGAGGGAGGGAGGAGGGAGGAAGGGAGAAAAAAAGAAAGGGAAGGAAGAAGGGAGGGGGAGGGAAGAAAGAGAAGAAGGGAGGGGGAGAGAAGGAGGGAGAGGAGGGAGGGGGAGAAAAGGAAGGGGAGGAGGGAGGGGGAGAAAAGGAAGGGGAGGAGGGAGAGGGACAAAAGGAAGGGGAGGAGGGAGGGGGACAGAAGGAAGGGAAGGAGGGAGGGGGACAGAAGGAAGGGAAGAAGGGAGGGGGACAGAAAGAAGGAAAGGAGGAACAAGGAGAGAAGGAAGGGAAGGAGGGAGGGGGAAGGAAGGGAAGGAGGGAGGGGGACAGAAGGAAGGGAAGAAGGAGGGGGACAGAAGGAAGGGAAGGAGGGAAGGGGACAGAAGGAAGGGAAGGAGGTAGGGGGAAGGAAGAAAGGAAGGAAGGGAGTGAGGGAGGGAGGGAAGGAGGGAGGGAGGAGAAAAGTGACCAGACCTCAGTGATCTGGAAAGTATCAAGAGATTTAACTTGGGCTCTACCAATGTCCCAATATAGCTCATTAAAAAGGCACCTGTGTAAGCTAGGAGTCTTATACAATCCCAAGTAAAGACTATGAGGAAAAAAAAGTTTCAAAAACATTTTTTAATTTAATAAAAACTAAAGTCACCTAAAGTTTGGTGTCCCAGATGAGGAGAAAAGGAAGAATAAAAGGAAGTAATATTGGGAAAAATAATGACATATTTTTTTTCAAGATTTGATGAAAACTACAAAGTCACAAAGGAACAACTAGCAACGTAAACACACGCTAATCTACCCAGGACCACAACTAAGTGCATTTACCATCCACAGGAAACATCTGGAGAGCACAGAGACCTGGAGCTTACAAAATATCAGCTAAAAAATACAAATTTTAACATGACAAATTGTAGGGCACAAACATAAATTAAATTTGTAGACCTAAAAAATTATAAGGCAGCAGACTAAACTAAAGACAATAATCTCTATAAGTCACTAATGGCTAGAAACAAAAATGGAACAAACATTTACTAGTATTCCTGTAAAAAAACAGCTAAGTGAAACTGCAAAAAGAAATGCTGTTGATAGATAAGACTCTGTCCTGAGATTCAGGACAAGTTCACCAACACAAACTACAAAAAAACCACCAAACTGCCCCTCAAGAGGAGAGCTCTAACCTGCAAAGGCTCTGCTCCCAGAATATGCTGTCCCACTGAAGAGCCATTATCACTCAGAACAGAAGACTGGGTGCAACGTAACACACCCTGAACTCCAATAAATAACAAATATGTAGTTCTAAAGCACCAATTTAACAAGGATCAAATTACTAGTCTACCTAGCACACCCAAAACAACAAAGCCCGCCCCTCAATCTGACATGTACCATGTGAATAGTGTCAGTCACATTATAAGCTGCCAATGTGCCCGGGAGGGGACCTTCAAATACCAGAGCATTTAGGGCTTGGGGTGTTTGTTTTCACTTGGTTTTTACCCAGTGTCCTTTATCTCCTTGAAGTTTGCTGAAGAAAAGCTTTAGTTCTCTAACTGTCAAATTATAGCTGGCCAGCACTCCCAACATGTCCACGAGAAGATCTGAGAAAAAGCAAACAATTAAATTGGTGAGAGATTAATCTCAGAGAGATAGAGAATTAAAAAAACATGTGCTCACTTACATGTCTGGACACAAGAGGTACACATACATGCTATGAGGGTAAAGATGCAGCTCAGTGGTTGAGAGCACATACAGCTCTTCCCAAGCACCTGAGCTAAAATAAACTCCAGCTCCAAGAATATTGCCTCCTCTGCCTCTGCATGCATCACTCTCCCTACAATCCTATACACCCACTCACAACTTTAAAATAATAAATAATTTTAAATAGATAATGTTATATAATCAAGTTTTTTTTTAATATTGCTAAGAGAATTTTTTAAATACTGTAAGAATCAAACCATTTCCTTACATACATTTCTACAGAAAAGTCATACCTGCAATCATACTGTCGGCTTTTTCTATCTTCCCAAGTACTTTCTCCACGAGGCCCACTTCTGCGCAGACGTAAAGGTTTCGGATGCTCTTCCTCAAAATGGCTGTGAACATGCTCCAGACCTCTGCCTGGCAAGTGATATCGCACTTCTCCAGTAAATCCAGCATGCAGACGACGCTCTCACCTTCCTGGATGATGAAGTTCGTCTCCAGATCAAACTGGCCTCCCACCAGCTTCCAGGAAAACAAACACAGTCGAAGACATCAGTCACTATCTGTTAACCACGGTTACTTCTCCTACACGTCAGATTACCAATGACTTCCCATTGGCATCAGTCCCTAACCCCCAACAACAAAATGTTCAACTTTTTAGAATAACAAATATAGCGCAACTTAAGTAAACCACTATCTGCTGCATGAAATGATAAAACAGTATTTTGTAAATGTGAGAGGTAATGCTTTTCTAAACTCTTTAGGCCAGATGCCCGTAATCCCAGTGCTTGAGAAGTGGCAGGAAGATCAAGAGGTCAAGGTCAGGACTGGAGAGATGGCTCTGAAGTGCAGAACACTGTATGCTGTCACAGAGGGTCTGGGCTGGGATCCCAGCATTCACAGGACAGCTTACACACAACCATCTTTAACTCCAATTCCAAGTAATTCTCTTCTGGCCTCTGAGGGTACAAGGCACACACAGAGAATGCTTACATACATGCACATAAAAAATAGAAATAAACTAATTAAAAAAACAAAGAGCAGGCATGATGGTACAGCGCTGCATCCTCCCAGCGCCCAGAAGGAAGAGGCAAGCAGACCTCTGGCCTAGCAAGCCCAGGCCAGCCAGACTCTAGAGTGAGACCCTATCTTTTTCTTGTCATTACTTTTCTTCTTCTTCTTCTTCTTCTTCTTCTTCTTCTTCTTCTTCTTCTT